CTAAGGAAATGGAGAGAAATAAAGAAGTTCTGAAAAATCTCAGATGATTGATAGCTTAGCTCACATTCTAACTTGGAATGTTAGAATTGAACATCTGCTTGTTATCCTTCAGCGACATCTCAGTCTCTTTCCAGGCAGATAGATGCCCTGGGACACCTAAAATTTAAAAAATATATATTGAGTTGTGAAGACAAGAAACATAGGCATGTAGAGAATTTTTAGAAAATATTGCTCCTATTGCACTCCTGTTTCTACTCAGCTACTTTGTCAGTATTTTGCATTATTTTGCCAAACAAAAGCAAGCAATGGTACAGCTAAAGTAGTTCCTAAATTAGCCTTTAGAAAATTCAGGAAGTTGCTTGTGGTTGTGGAGGGCTTCTTCAAGCAATTGTAGTTAGAATTCTATGTTACTTTATTTTGACACATTCAGTTTGGACTGCTCTTCTTGACAGATGGTGCCCATATTCAGCTGTTTGCCCATGTTCAATATTAACCTTTTGCCATGCTGTATTCTATTTTGGAAAATCAAGAAACATTGATAATGAAAACTAAAGGCAAGTGTAGAGTCATCTTTGCCCTCTCCCGTGACCTCCATTGCTAGGCTTCACTTCATTTCTGAGAAATAATAATCTTGTGTTCTCTGAACATTCTTCACGTTTATACACATAATTTTACACAGCCAAGATAATATGTCAGGTGTGGCTTTACCAACTTCTCCTCCTCCCCGCCCCCCATTTAAAAACTTAATGTTACAAGTTCTGAATACATTGCTATATATATAGATCCTAGTGACTCCAGCTGAGTCAATCGATCTGTGTAATTTTTCATTTTATTTCCCTGCTGATGGATAAGTAGATTATTTCCACATCTTTCTTACCTTAATGCTTTATTGAACAGCTGTGTACATAGAATTGAGTTCCTTGGTTATATTTCTACTCATTTTCAATTTTTGTAGGAACAGCTATATTGGTGTACAATTTCTATCTCCATTAGAGCAGTGTGACCATTCTGGTTTTCCCATATGTTGGCCCATTTTTATATTGTCAGATCCTTTCACCTTTTTCTTATATAAATTGATTTCTTTTTAAAGTATCACTGCATTTTCTCAATTACTAGTGATCTTGTACATCTCCTCATATTTACTGGCCATTTGGATTTCCTTTGTTCAGGTTGCCTGTTCTAAGCCTTTGCTCACTTCTTTTGGGTTGACTCTTGTTTTGTTTATTGATCTCTAGAAGTTTTCAGGAAACTCATTTATTGTCTATTTTATGTATGATAAAACTATTCTATGCTGTGTCTTGTCTCTTAATTTTTTTGTGTCATTATTACACCGAAATTGGTTAAGTATATCAGACATTTCCATCATTGTTTGTGCTTTTGGTTCTTCTTTAGGGCATTTTATCCTACCTTGAATGGATAACACATTCTTCAATATATTTTCAAATAGTCTTGAAGTTTTCCTTTGTACAACATGTGTTTAATCTATCAGTAATTTACTTATCTAAGTAGTGTGAGGTAGAGCTCTATTATTCCCCCCAAAAAGGCCACTATCATTTCACCTATTGAATAATTAATTCCTCTTCACAGGATTGGTATGGCACTTTCATTATATACAGATTCCCACCTGCACAGTTGAGCCTTGAACAACATAGGTTTGAACTGCATGTGTCTACTCATACGTGGATTTTTTTCAATAACTATATTGGTAAATATCTTGGACATTCAGAACAATTTGAAAAATCTGTGAGACAAATCTTGTGGTTTAGAACTATTGAAAAATGAAAGTAATTATGTATGTTATGAATGCATTAAATACATGTATATAATGTGTATGTTATCATTTATTACTGTAAAACATACACAAATCTGTTTTTAAAAGTTAAAATTTATCAGAACTTACTTACACACAGATCATACATGGTGCCAATTTCAGGTGAGATAAATGTAAACAAATGTAAAGATTTAGTATTAAATCATAACTGCATAGAATTAACTGTAGTACCCCTTGTACTACTGTAAGAATTTTGTAGCCACATCCTGTCACTATCGAGGAGAGCTCCGGTGTTGCGCGTATCCTCTTAAAACGCTGTGGGACGCTAATAATCTACACATGAGCAAATATACTCAGTCAATTGCAGGTTCCTGAGCATTTTTCATATTTAGTACAATATCATAAAGTTTGAATAACACCGTGAAACCCATACGAAGTACCACTAGTGATCCTGGAAGTATTCCCAAGAGGCAGAGAAAAGTCATGACATTACAAAAAGTTGCATTGCTTGATGCATAGTGTAGACTGAGGTCTGCAGTGACGTTACCAGCCATTTCAGACAGACTGTTCATCTTCTAAACAGATGAAGTAAATTGAAGGTATCCAGAAATACAGTACAGTACTTTAAATGCATTTTCTCTTCCTTATGATTTTCTTAAAAACATTTTCTTTTCTCTAGCTTACTTTATTGTAAAAATACAGTATATAATACATGTAACATACAAAATATGTGTTAATCAACTATTTATATTATCAGTAAGGCTTACAGTCAACAATAGGCTATTAGTAGTTAAGTTTTTAGGGAAGTCAAAAGTTACTCAAGAAGTTTCAACTACACAGAAGTTCAATGTCCCTAACCCTCTCCTTGTTCAAGGGTCAACTGCACATGCACATATGTCTGGCCTCTGTGTTCTGTACTTAGATGTATTGTTAATTTCAGCTCAACTATCACAGTTTGGTAAGGGAGAAGTCATTTGTCCTTTTTTTAGGTATCATTTTGGAGATTCTTGTTTAAATCTCTGACTCTAACACTCGCTAGCTTTATCACCTTGAACAAACTGCTTAATGTCCCCATGACTGGGTTTTGTCATCTGAAAAACAGAGATAACATTTTTCTTATAGGTTATTATGAAGATTAAATGAGTTATTCTGTGCAGAGTAAATTGAACAGTGTTTGGCATTTTATAGCCACTGTGTATGTTAGCTATTTTAAAGAACAGTTTTGTTATTAGAGATTAAGAGGGATTTCTGTTCATCAAAACATATGGAGAAGGAGAGAAAACACCAACCAAGGAGTGTGAACAGATATTGTATTACTCATCTCTAATAAAGAGCTAATATCCAGTATACATAAAGAGCTAGCACAGAGACAGCAAACCCAGTAGAGAAATGGACAAATACATAATAGTCACTTCATGAGTGAGAATATCCCATTGGCCAATAAACATATGAAAAAAATGCTCACTCTCATTTGTAATCAGGAAAATGAAATCCTTCCTTCCTTCCTTCCTTCTTTCTTTCCTTCCTTCCTTCCTTCTCTCCTTCTCTCTCTTTTTTCTTTCTTTCTCTCTCTCTTTCTCTCTGTCTCTCTCTCTTTCTCTTTCTTTCCCTTCCTTTCTTCCTTCCTTCTCTCCTTCTCTCTTTTTTCTTTCTCTCTCCTTTCTTTCCTTCTCTTCTTTCCTCCCTCCCTCCCTCCCTCCCTCCCTCCCTCCCTCCCTCCCTCCCTTCCTTCCTTCCTTCCTTCCTTCCTTCCTTCCTTCCTTCCTTCCTTCCTTCCTTCCTTCCTTCCTTCCTTCTCTCCTTTTCTCTCTCTCTTTCTTTCCCTTTCCCTTTCCCTTTCCTTTCCTTTCTCTCTTTCTTTCTTTCTGGGTCTCAGCCCAGGCTGGGCTGCAGTATCAGGATCACAGCTCACTGTACCTCGACCTTCTGGATTCAGGTGATCCTCTCACCTCAGCCTCCCAAGTAGCTGGGACTACAGACGTGCACTACCACACCCAGCTGACTTTTCTATTTTATATAGAGATGAGGTTTTGCATGTTGCCTAGGTTGGTCTCCAACTACTGGGCTCAAGTAATCTGGCCATCATGACCTCTTGAAATGTTGGGATTACAGGTGTGAGTCACCATTTTTTAAAAAAAAGTTACAGGTCTCACTCTGTCGCCCAGGCTGGAATTCAGGGGTATAATGATAGTAAATACAAATTTAATGAGACATCACCACAATCTCACCTGACTGGCTATAACTAAAAAGTCTGATATTTGCCAAAGATTTGCAAAAGTGAAGAGCAATGAGTACCCTCATACACAGCTAGCAAGTGTGTAAATTGGTAACAACTGTTGAAAAACAATTTGCCATTGTAAAGTTTGAATTCACATACAGTTGTCCCTTGATATTCTGGGGGGTGAAGGGGGTGAATTTTAGGTCCTCCTAAGTGTTCTCAGGATGTACAAGTCCCTTATATAAAATAACTTAGTATGTGCATGTAACCTATGCATGTCCTCCCATAGACTTTAAATCATCTCTAGATTACTTGTAATTCTTATTACAATGCAAATATTATGTAGTTGTTCACTGAAATGTTTTTTATTTGTTATTTTTATTGTTTTTTTCCTCATTTTCTGAATATTTTCAACCCACAGTTGGTTGAATTCACTGATACTGAACACAGAGGTTACAGAGGGCTGACTGTATTGTACAACAAGGTATCCATTTATAGATAAGAGGACACATGAGCTCCAGTATACATGTCTAAGCATGTTCTGAGTAACACTGTTTTTAAAAGGCCCAAGTGAAAACAATCCAAATGCCCATCAACAGCAGAAACATTTATACCATTGAACACATTATGGCAAGGCAACAAGACCAAGTACAGTACACGGAACAATATAGATGAGGGAAATAACACATGAAAATACATTAAAATACAAAAAAGCATTATTCTATTTATATAAGTTTATATAACACTTTCAAAATGAGAAACATTTTAATTAATTTATTTAGAATTTTGCAGAGGAGTTTTGTCTCTTCTCCTCAATTTGTTAATTTATTTAATCATTTAGCTATAACATCATGAACTTATATTTATTTTATACTTTGGATTATAATTCAATTCTACTTCGGTTATTTTGTTGCTCAATTTCTTTGATATTTGGCCACCGGGAACTGTTTGCATTGGTTTCTGTGCCCCTCTAACATAATCCCATCAATGCTATTATTTGTTTTGTATTTACCACACCCTTATTTTCCAGATGGTTGGATCACAGGGGTGTTTCTTATGAATAGTTAAGCACTATTCTCCCAGTGCTGTTGTTGTGGTAGAGTTCCCAGAAGATCTGGTTGTTTAAAACTGTGCAGCACCTGCACCCTCTCTGTAATTCTCCTGCTCCAACCAGGTAAGATGTGCCTGCTTTCCCTTTACCTTTTGCCATGATTTTAAGTTTCCTGAGGCCTGCCCTGAAGCAGAAGCTCCTGTGCTTCCTGTACAGCCTGCAGAACTGGGAGCCAATTAAACCTATTTTGTTTTTAAGTTATCCAGTCTCAGGTATTTCTTTATGTGAGCAATGTGAGAATGGACTATTACAGTCACCTTTCTCATCCAAAGAGAAAAAAATGGAGAAATCTAAGGATATGGAAAACTTAAACTACATTAACAATAAGGTAGAATTGGTATGCCCGATGATAGAAAATGCTCCCTCTCTTCAGGTGCCAAAGAATGAATCACAAAATATGACCATATATTAGGGTGAATAGAAAATATCAATATTTTCTTTAAAAAATAATTTTAAAATGAAGCATTCTGAATTATCATGCATTCAGACTAGAAATATTTTTAGAGTCAGAAAATGTACAGGTCCTTTTCCTAGTAGGTTAAACATTTTTTATTGAATGAACCTCAGATTTGAGGGAAATACAAACCAAAAAAGCCAAACTTCCATGAAACAGTAAATATCTATTACATGCATAATAAACTCTGGAGGAAGACAGCCTGATTTTGATTTCCAGCTTCTCTTACCAGCTTGTGTGACCCTGAAAATTACTTAACTTTATGACTGGTTTCCTCAATGTAAAATGGAGATATTATGTACCTCGTGTGTTTAGTTGACAGTTCTATGAGTTAATAAATGCAATTTGTGAATACCAATGCTTGGGACACAATAGCATTAGTGGAGTGTTTTTAGATCTAAAATTTAATAAAATACATAAAGGAATAGATGAGATTCATTTACAATAGTACTGAGAAAAATTTGCAGCCTTAATTATTTTCTGCATCACATTCAAAGAATGAAATTAACTGGATTAAGCTTCTGATGTACAAGTTAGGAAAGGATAGTCTGAAAGTAGCAGGAATTGATATACGTATACACAGAAATTAATGAGTCAGATTAACTGTAAAATAATATACTAAGTCAACAAAAAGCTCCAATGATATGAATTTTTTTGAAAAATTAACTTACTAAATAGAACATTTAAGACATACATTTCTATATATTACTAAATAGAACATTTAAGATATATATGTTTCTGTGTATGAAATATGGAAAGATGGCAGAAGATCTACCTATTCAAAAATGACAAGGATTAGACAATTTCAAAGAGGAACTGTGTGACATCTCCAGTTTAAGCATATGTAGGCCTTTAAAATGAGAAAAATTTCATGTTTTAAAATAAGCACATTATTGATAGAAAATCCTGATGAACTGCATGCAGAATGAGAGGAAATGAGAGGAAATGATGGACAAAACTTATTTATGAACATCAATGTAAAAATTTTAACTTAAATATTAGCTAAGAGAATCTAAGTATATTAGAAGAATAACATATGATGAGTACATGGGGTTTATTGCAGGAAGGTTAGGATTGCTTAAAATAAGAAAATCTAGGAATATAAATTATCCAGTAAATATATCCAGAAGAAAAGTTATATGATCACATTTATAAATGGTGATAGCCATTTGATAAAATTCAAATCAGTCTTGTTTTACACACACCCACAAGGAAGCAATGGATTCTTCTTATTTTTTTTTTGAGACGGAGTCTTGCTCTGTAGCCCGGGCTGGAGTGCAGTGGCCGGATCTCAGCTCACTGCAAGCTCCGCCTCCCACGTTCACGCCATTCTCCTGCCTCAGCCTCCCGAGTAGCTGGAACTACAGGTGCCCGCCACCTCGCCCGGCTAGTTTATTTTATTTTATTTATTTATTTATTTTTTAGTAGAGACGGGGTTTCACCGTGTTAGCCAGGATGGTCAGGATGGTCTCGATCTCCTGACCTCATGATCCGCCCATCTCGGCCTCCTAAAGTGCTGGGATTACAGGCTTGAGCCACCACGCCCGGCCGCAATGGATTCTTTCTTAAAATAAAATACAAGGCTGGGCATGGTGGCTCATGCCTGTAATCCTAGCACTTTGGGAGGCTCAGGCGAGTGGATCACCTGAGGTCAGGAGTTCAAGACGAGCCTGACCAACATGGCAAAACCCCATCTCTACTAAAAATACAAAAATTACCCAGGCATGGTGGCACATGCCTGTAATCCCAGCTACTCGAAAGGCTGAGGCAGAAGAATCGCTTGAACCTGGGAAGAGGAGGTTGCAGTGAACCCAGATCATGCCACTGCACTCCAATCTGGGTGACAGAGCAAGACACCATCTCAAAATAAATAAATAAATAAATACATACATACATACATACATACATAAATACATAAATACATAAATAAATAAAATAAAAATAAATAAACAAAATACAAATATAATCTATCTAATAGTGAGATACTTTAACTCCAAGCCACCATTTTCATTCATGTGAGGTATCTGAGGCACTTCAGCCAATAATTTATGGAATTAGCCCAATTAACCACTGAAAATATTTTTAGAAGTATAATTAATGGAAGGGAAGGGACAAAATTTATTTTGTTGTGGTTACAGTTGATAAGGCTGAATGTGGGGAAAATTCAAGGAGGAGGCTAAACTTCTAAAATGGTTTCTTTATGGCCACCATGCTGGCTTCAACCACGGCTTCAACTTCTAGGAGGTCATGAATTTTGCTACCATTGATAAATCAGTTCAGACAAAGTGATGTCTCAGTGCAGTGGCAGGCGAGCCATTGTGGGCATCCTATAACCCAAGTGCTATGAGATGTAGAAACACAGGCAAGCTGGGGCATTTGCAGACCCCATGGAGTCCAGGGCACATGCCAGCCTGGAGAGGCCCACCTGGTGGAAGATCCAAGTGCCCAAGAGGACTACCCTAGCCTGAGACACCACCCAGATCACCAGGGCCGTGACCCATTTAGCCTATGGCCTCCTGCTGTGATACCCATTGCCTCGCCCTTGTGCCGGGTGTTTCCATGGTCCATATAGCATGCAGTGATACTTCCCAGCCCAGGATTTTAGCCTGGACCCACTGCTCACCCTAGCTCTGTCAACCCTGGTCTGAACCCCTCAACTGACAGATATGGTTGTCATTGCTGTCTGTAACTTGGGTCTAAAAAGTCAATACTCCAGGCTCTGTCCAGGGGGTGCCTCTTGATGGTCACAGTGCACATAGCTTCAGGCCCTACGTATCAGGCCCTGAGCCTCAGCCCCTGCCCACAGATGGAGCATTGATGGACAGGCCTGCACTACTGAGCCCAGGATCCAGCATCCTGCCAAGGATTCCAGGAGCTGCTGAACCCTGCCCCTGAGCCCATGGTCAGCTTTTATATGTCGCTGTTTTGCTCGGTGATGGCTTCTTGATATTGCTCAAATTTACATCTCACAACTTTGGGCAAATTTGCAGACTGTTACAGTTAAAGAGCCTCCTGGTACTGAGCTAGCCCCTCTGGTGAGGATTCTGGGTGCTGCGGAGTCCAAGGTCGTTACCAAATTCACCATATATTTTTTATCCTCCCAGACCTTTCAATACCTTGACACTTCTACTTCTGCGTCACCAGCTGAGATTTCTTCCATTGGACATGAGTGTCTCTGAGAACGAGGTCTTCCTGGGTTTACTGGGAACTCATCTATCCCAGCGTCCCAATTGCTGGAACAACTATGGAGGCTGCTGCACTTCTGAAGAATTCACAATGTGGTTCCCCTTCAATCTTCTTCCCTTACCTACCCCTGCCCCAACTCTCCCTTTCTAGCAAAACTAGCCTCTTATGACCAATTAGGTCAATAGAGTTAGGAAAAAAGTATTATCTTTCTGAGTCATTGAGGTATTCAAAATGTGATGTCACCAGTATTTGTTCACAAATGAATTAAAAGTCACCAAAACGTAACATCTGACTTTCTTCTAATATTGTAGTTTCAAACAACTTGGAAAGGAGGTTATTCTCCATGCATTTTTCTTCATAATTAGTTGAAAACTTTTAAGGCAAAATGTATTTTATGGGCTGGTTACATTGGGTGGTGATGCTGAGCTCAGCGCATGGTTTTGGGGTTCTGGCTGTCTGGCCAGGTGGGAGCACGGGGTTGCAGTCATGCTTTGAGGCTGGCCTTAGGCCCAGCCTGGTTCTCAGCTAAATAGCAGGACCCAAATTGCTGGGAAAGATGAGCAGTCCTAGGCTGAAGGGGCTATCTGACTATCTTCTCTCCACTGCCTTTTCAAAGTGTTTGTATACTTCACACTGGTAACTCATTCACTCAACCCAATATTGTCCCCAAATAAGTGAACAAGGTTTCAATCAGGAATGTGTGTGTATAGAAACTAAGAAGGATTGGACAACAGAGCAGAATGAGCTGGGCTGGTTGAAGGCCGGTCTCAGAAGGATTCACTGAGCAGGAGACTTTGGGGACCCAATTATAAAAGGGGAGGTCTGGAGAAGAATTCCCTGCTTGCAGGGACCAGCAAGTACAACAGACCTAACATAGAACTTGTGAGTTTGTGTTTCCAGGAATACAAAAGAAGCTTATTTGTGTTTGGGACATAGAGAGGAAGGGAGAGAGGCAGGGGGCAGAGCATGGAGGGCCTTGTGTCTCATGTCAGGTGCATTATGTGGTGTTCCTTCAACTTGAAATGAGAAGGCATTAAAACAGCAGTGGAAAAGATGTGAACGACACATTTAAGTAATCAGCTTAGTTGTTCTGTGGAGAATGTGTGAGTAGGAGAAGCAATTAGACTATTTATAATACAAGTGAGAGTGACAGTTGCTTACACTTAATTGTTAGTATTGCAAATGCACAGAAATGGAAAAATTCAGAATATATTTTTAACATTGAAAATGACAGTTTGGATGAAGAAGGAAACATTCAGAGAAGCAAACCACTGCCCACCTTAGTACCACCCTTCCTTAACTTCCCCACTCCCATCCAGAATTTCAGGAAGGCTGTACATTTTGAAGCATGAGTAATCAAAACTTGGTGCTTATCTAAAGTTCTCAATAAAGAGCAGAAAAACTCTTATCATCCTGTCTCTCCCATTCATTCAGGCAACTTTGTCTTTCTTAACATAACAAGAAGTTTATTCTTTGGAAAATTCAAGCTGAGGGACAACATAGGGTCTCCAGGCATACAGGAGGATGGACTGAGATGCCTGGCTGAAAAGGTTTAAGCTAATAGTGACATGGTGGAACCAAAGATGAAAGCACACTGCATTCACTAGAAGGGAGTAGCCCAAGAGAACTGCTGGACCCTCAGTACATCTTGCATGAGCAAGGAAGAAACTTTTATGTGATAGGTAAAAGCCTCATTGGCCCTGGAATTCAGCAAGCAGACAGCCTTCAGTTGCAGAGAGCTGCCTCACCCAAGGCCATGCCTCTTCCCATATCCCATGATTGCTCACTACTGGAGCATAAAGCTTGGCCATTTCTGCTCAACTTAGGACATCACTAAAGGGCCATTTGAGCTCCAGATCTCCCTGCAGGATCCACTGAAAGTATCTTCGGGCTAATCCACAGCTCCAATTTTCCCTATGCTCAAACATGCTTCCTTCCTCTCCTTTTCTCAGATATGGAACCCAAGCACACTCATTAAGAAAGATCTTGATACGGAAGTCTCAGAGTCTGTTCCATAACAAACCTGACCTGCAACTTTATTTCAGGTTTCATTGTGTTTTGAAAACATAATTTCCTTGAGAAAATAAACACTGTTTTCCCCTGCTGAAATTATAGTTTTTCTTTGGTTATTTAGAGATGTGAGGAGATAGAAATGGCCACATGAGAATTTCAGCTTTTATTTTATGGAATTATTGTTGTGACCCCTGGTGAAAACATGTCCCTTTGAATACCAGAAGTCACAAGGGCAAGAAGCAAACATGTTGACATTAGCATGATGGACCATTCTGTTTTACTGCTGGACTTCTTAGGATGATGTACTCTGGTTCTAGTGAACTGTACCATGTTCAGAGCAAATTACCCTCACATACATTGCTTGTGGGAATGTAACATTATATAGCTCCTTTGAAAAGCTGTTTGTCAATGTTCTGTAAACTTGAGCTCTCATCTATCCATAGCTATTTTTCTTCCTAGGTATTTACCCAATCAATAAAAAATCAGGAACTGTAAATAATCCACATGTCTGAACAGATGAGTGGAAAAACTATAGCTTATTAAAATAATATTCAGTTATAAAAAGGAATGAACCGGAAAAGGAATGATTCATTTTATATTCACTCCAAAAAAAAAAAAAAAGCCAAACTAAGCTGTGGTCATAGAACTTAGATCATGGTTGCCTCTAGTACGAGTAAGAATTGACTGGAAAGTTCCAGGCATGAGAGAATGTCAGGGCATATTCTGCATCTCATTTAGAGTGATGATTACATGGGTGTATGTAATTGTTTAAACTGGAGGAATTGGCAGAGCAAGATGGTATAATATAAGGTTCTACATCAGATTTAGTCTGCCTTATTACCAAATAGATATTAACAGGACATTTCAACCAACAGCTGTAAAATGCACATTCTTTTCCTCAGCATATGGATCATTCTCAAGACCAGACCATATATTAGGTCAGAAAATTCATCCGAAAACATACAAAAAATTCAAATAATACCAACCATCTTCTCTGGCCACAGTGGAACGAAACTAGAAATCAATAACTAGAGGAATTTTGGAAATTATACAAACACATGGAAATGAACCAATATGCTCCTTAATGTCCAGTGGGTTAGTGAAGAAATTAAGAAGAAAACTGAAGAATTTCCTGAAATAAATCATAATGGAAACACCATATACTAAAACCTATAGGATACAGTAAAAGCAGTACTAAGATGGAATTTTAGAGCTATAAGTGCCTACATAAAAAACAGAAAAAACTTCAAATAAACAACCTAATGATGCATTTTATAGAAGTAAAAAGGCAAGAACAAATATAATCCAAAATTAGTAGAAGAATAGAAATAATAAAGATCACAGCAGACATTAATGAAATTGAAATGAGTAAAACAATGCAAAAGATCAATGAAACAAAAAGTTGTGGTATCAAAAGTTAAATGAAATGGACAAACCTTTAGTCAGACTAAGAAAAAAAAAGACAGAAGATCCAAATTAAGAAAATCAGAAAAGGGAGACATTGCAACAGATACTGCAGAAACTCAAAGTATCATTAGTAATTACTATGAGCAACTATGTGGCAATAAATTGGAAAAGCTAGAAGGAATGCATAGGTCACTAGACACATACAGACTACCAAGATTGAACCAGGAGGAAATCCAAAATCTGAGTAGACCAATAACAAATAATGAGATCGAAGCTGTAATAAAAGATCTCCCAGTAAAGTAAGGGTGAGGACTCGATGGCTTCACTGCTGAATTCCACCAAACATTTGAAGAAGTCATACTAATCCTACTAAAGCTATTCTGAAAAGTAGAGGGAGAGGAATTATTTCCAAACTCATTCTATGAGGACAGTATTAACTTGATACCAAAACCAGACAAAGACACATCAAAAAAGAAAACTGCAGCCCAATATCTCTGATGAATATTCATGCAAAAATCCTTAACAAAGTAGTAGGAAACAGAATTCAAGAATCCATTAGAAAGATCATTAATCATGACCAAGTAGGATTTATCCCTGGGATGCAAGGATGGTTCAACATATGTAAATCAATCAATGTGATACATCATATCAATAGAATGAAGAATAAAAACCTTTTGATCATCTCAACTAATGATGAAAAAGCATTTAATAAAATTCAACATCCTTTCATGATAAAAACTATTTAAAACCTGGGTATAGAAAGAGCATACCTCAACATAGTGAAGGCCATAGATGACAGACCCTAAGCTAGTGTCATACTGAATGGAAAGAACTGAAAGGCTTTCCTGTAAGATCTGAAACATGACAAGGATGCCACTTTCACTACTCTTATGCAACATAGTAGTAGAAGTCCTAGCTAGAGCAATCACCCAAGAGAAATAAAGGGCATCCAAACTGGAAAGAAGTCAAATTATCCTGGTTTGCAGATGACATAATCTTACACTTGGATAAAACTAAAGACTCCACCAAAAGACTATTGGAACTGATAAACAAATTAAGTAATGTTGCAGGATACAATACTCACATACAAAAATAAGTAGTAGCATTTTTATATGCCAACAGTGAACAATCTAAAAAAGAAATCACAAAAGTAATTCCACTCACAATAGCCACAGATAAAATTAAATACCTAGGAATTAACCAAAGAAGTGAAAGATCTCCATAATAAAAACCAGAAAATACCGGTGAAAGAAACTGAAGAGGACACACACACGCAAAACTGCAAAGATATTCCAAGTTCATGGATTGGAAGAAATCATTTTTGTTCAAATGTCTATATTATCCAATGAAATCTATAGATTCAATGTAATTCCTATCAAAATACCAGTGACATTCTTCACAGAAATAGAAAAAAACAATACTTAAATTTATATGGAATCACAAGAGACCCAGCTAAAGCTGTCTTAAGCAAAACAGCAATACCGGAGGAATCACATTACCTGACTTCAAATTATACAACAGAGCTATTGTAACCAAAAGAGCAGGTACTAACATAAAAACAGATATATAGACCAATGGAGCAGACCAGAGAACCCAAAAACAAATCCACACACCTACAGTGAACTCATTTTCAACAGAGGTGCCAAGAACACCTCTGTCTTTGGGAAAAGACAGTCTCTTCAATAAATGGTGCTGGGAAAACTGGATATCCATATACAGAAGAATAAAACTCTACTATTCTCTCACCATATGAAAAAATCAAAATGGTTTAAAGACATAAATCTGAGACCTCAAACTATGAAAGCACTACAGGAAAACACTGAGGGAAACTCTCTAGGATATGGGTCTAGGCAAACATTTCTAGA